ACGACCGATGCCCGTGAGGTGGGAACTCTTATCAGTACAATGCATGGTCGTGGTTACATAACGCAACTGCTCTGCTGTTTACCTACGAAGCGACACTAGCGCTTGGTAGTTCACTGGCTGGAGTCTGTACTAGTGACACTCCCCTTAATGTCTCAATGTATAAGTGATACCAGTTATCTGCCTGTTTATCACATAAATTTACTTGTTTCTCTTTATTTCTCTCCCCCTCCTGCCAATTTGAACTTCCCATACATACCAGTAAGTAAATAATTATGATTTTTACACTTCCCATATTTATTTTACAAAATGTTCTCTTGAGAGTGAAAATTTTTAAACGTACGTTTTAATGTCCCTGGCTTTTATTTCGTGGATACTGTATTTGTAGTATATTAGGGGTTTTAATATTTTTTGGGACGGGGGCAACATGTTACAAACATTTGTTTGGTTTTAAATAGGTTCTATGTAATTTTTCGTATTTTTGAAGTCTCGAAATTCACGACCATCACGTGTCCCTAGGGTACATTTTTCAACTTTCACGCTGTTTTTAGAGTTATTACTCATGCCGAAATATATAATATGCCATATTTTTATATCATCAATGGTTATTAAAAAAAGGAGCATATAATAATTTTGTTTTCATCGCGAAAAGACTACCATGACAAAATAAGTCTGTCCCTCGATTTGACGTCTCGACCGTAATGGCAAAATTTGCAACTTTGGATCACGACAGTGGCAAGCCTGGCGGTGATAGCGTCAGTTGGTTTTAGAGACTGGTTCAAGATGTGCGTTAGTTTTGTTGTACCGGTGGTTTTGCAGTAAAAAATTAAAGTACAAGATTAATATAGGTAAGTTTGTGCTTTTTGTAATTTTGGTGGGTCCACGACCGTACGTAGTCATTAGATGAAGTAGACATGTTAATTTTTTGTTGTGAGTTAATTTTTGTTGATATGATATTTTAATTGCTACGTTAACTTAGAAATCCACTTTGCCTCCTCAAACACGAGATGTAGAGCTGCCACTAGAACAGAGCCAAAAAATATGTGATTTCATGACCAGGGCATCGCGACCGTCACGGGTATTTTCACGACCATAATAGCTTTATCGATTGTACAGTACTGTGTTATAGTCGTGAAAATAAATTTAAACATCATTGTAAATGGCACAGTTTAGTTTAATTGCAAGACAAATCTTTGTTATAACAGTACATTTAATTAAAAGGGTGTAAAAAAATAGAGTTTGAACTATGTTTACATTGAAAGGTATTTTTATTAGGCCTATCTTATATAAGGTAACGCTTATATTGTATAGAGTTATATACAGGGTTAGTAAAAAGTGTGGAGAAACCCTGTTATTTTTTTAACGGCCCATACTAGAAAAACTAAACTCGGCACACCTTTATTACATTTTATGAAGTACTTTTTGGGCATAACCGTCACTTGGTGTACATCCCCAAACTGGAGGATTATGGGGGAAACTAAAAAAATTCAAATACAAAGACTCATCGAGTGACCCCTCATTTTGAAGGTCCTGGTAAAATAAAACTAACAACGCAAACTAGAGGTTTCTATCTCAATCCAGTAAAAAATGGAAGCTGGTTGAAATCTTTAGAAATCGGAAATAACTTGCAATTTTATATTCAATTGGCTGCCATATTTTACTGTGTTAAGATAGAGACCTTCAGTTTGCGTTGTTAGTTTTATTTTATTATGACCTTTAAAATGAGGGGTCATTCGATGGGACTTACCATTAAACAATTTTTAAGTTTCTCCCAAAATCCCCCATTTTGGGTTTGCAAACTTATGAGAATTTCAATTTGCTGCCATTTTTTACTGAACTGAGATAGACCCCTAATTTGCGTTGTTGGTTTTCTTTTACCAGGACCTTTAAAATGAGGGGTCACTCGATGGGTCTTTGTGTTTGAAATTTTTGAGTTTTCCCCGAAATCCCCCATTTTGGGGATGAACAACAAGTGGCGGTTATGCCCAAAAAGTACTTCATAACATGCCATAATGGTGTGCCGAGTTTAGTTTTTCTAGTATGGGCCGTTAATCGCCAATTCCAGACCGTAACACTTGTCCCTGACCATAACAGTCTTGATTTGGATCATAAAAAATGCAAAAATTGATATCATCATATGGTCGTGACAGAATTTCCTGTTTTTCCATTAAAGATGCCATATTAAAAAAACATCAAAGATATTGCATTGCCATGGACATTTTATAGAACTTCAAATGTCAATAAAATTTAAAAAATAATAAACGTTTCGAAAAAAATTAAAACCTTTTTATAAAATTCTTTTCCTAAAAGCCTAAGGTTTTTAAACTTTCACTTTTGACCAATTAGTTAAAAATAATGAATTAACACATAATTGACACCATCCCCTTCCCATATGCATATTATTGTAGAAATGCGATGCCTGTTGAGTCAGGCTTAGTCCTTCTGTAAGACTAAGGTCTCTAGGCAATGTCTCAAGGTGTTATCCTGTTGTAAGCCACCAACATGTATCAGGTTAATTTATATTGTATTAGCTAACAACCCCAGCTCTGCTAGATAGTTAAACCATACACCAAGCAACACATGTAGACTTCTCATCCCATTGCAAATTTTGAAGCTCGTTTTTCATGTCTAGTTAATGTTTGTTGTTATGATCACTAGTGTCAACGAAATTTTGTTTCTATTATTTTAAGGTTAATTTAATGATTTGTGCTTTCCTGTTTGGTTATATAACTAGTGGACCAGTTTTGGTTTATGATTAGAACGTTTTGTTTGGCTAAACAAGGTTTTAAAAGACTGAAATTACAAGAAAAATTGTAAACAAAACACAACCTCTTCAGTGTGACGTACAGAACTAACAATAAAATTGGCTTCAGCTGATCCATAAGGATGAGAAATCTACTAAGGGAATATCTTTTATCCATGGTTAAAAACACAGGATTTGAGACCCAAGATGAAAAAATGCAAGGTCATAAGAAGAACTCATGGAAAGAGTGTACAATCATCCTGCTATTTCTGACCTTTTGTCATACATACAGTTGAACCTCGTTTGTACGAACCTCGATAAAACGAATTCCTCGATAAGACGAATTTTTTTTAATCCCCTTGACACTTTCATACAGGTCAATGCTAAAAACACCTCTATACAACGTAGTAATTAAGTTAAAAACCTCCATAAGACGAATTTTTTGTGACATGGGCTAGGACTGATTAACCTCTATACAACGAATAATCTTAGCACAAAACCTCTACAAGACGAACGTGACCTCTATAAGACGAATTTATCATAATCTTAACCTCCATAGTACGTAGTTTTCAAAACAAACAGAAGCTTGTCTCAACATGAATCCCCCACCCATCCCTCCTCCTGCCTCAGTCATTGTTTGGAAAAACCTTGGAGCGAGGAGAAACCTCTATAAGAAGAATAACAGCAGCATTAAACCTCGATAAAACGACCCTCTTTATTAAGAATACCTCTATAGTACGAATTTTTCCCGTACCCCTTGAAATTCGTCTTATAGAGGTTCAACTGTATTTAACATTTCTGAATTAAAGTAAAACCAGCTATATGTGAAACATTAAGAACCCCTCCCAAAGCTAGATGTTGTAGCCCACTTAGTTAATAAAGACGTTAATATAATTGTAGCTACATATCTCTAAAAAAACAGAGAGGGGCGACAATAAAAATAAATTGTTTCAATTCAACTCAGTATTATAAAAAAGATCTAATTGAGCCAAACAACCTACAGTATTTGTCTGAGAGGGCATCCGCTACTTGGCGTACTTAATTATTAAACACACAGAATATCCTATCCATATCAATCCAAAAGATACTAAACTGAACTTGTAAATAAATTTAAGTTTCTGAAATAATATGGTATTTTCGACTATATTCAATAACCTTATCATTCATCTAATGTTCACAATTTTTATTAAGTTTGCTGTTTTTGTAAATTTTATCTGTATGCTCTTTATTAAAAAAAAAATCCAAGGTGGTATCAGCGGACTAAAAAGTTTGGAGACCCCTGGTCTACAGAATCTACAAGAATGTCTCTTACCTCAATTCAACCAACTGTAACGTTACAAGCATGAAGGCTCTGCCAAATCTTACTTGAGTAACTAGACTGGAAATCTATAGTCACAGACAAACCTTAGAAACGAGAAACCTGTTCACAATTCGATATCAATTGGCTGGACTTGCATGTACAGTGACTTCACCGTTTTGTTAAATCTTCCCAAGCTGTAAATATTCTTATAGTTGAGCCGTACATAAACAGAGTGTGCTGATCTCCATTAATTATTTCTGTTGAAATCGCCAAGTTTTTAACCAATTGGAAAGAAAACTCTTTGTCGTTGCAGCGTATTTACCACACCAACTATCACGTTTTCAAAAATAAGTGATTAAGATAGTTTTGTTTTTATTAAAACAGTTTGTGAGAGGGTCATTAAACTGTTTGTATTTGGATAAAACATTGGCTAAAGATTCATAGATAAGATAAATGCTACAATCTGAGACCTCTCTCTCTCTCTCTCTCTCTCTCTCTGCAGAACATTTTGTTAAGTAATAAAAACTAAAAGGTTTTGTTAAAATCTATTAAATACTCATGATACATATCGTTTTCTACTTTTCTTCAGGAAATAATTACTGTCCCATTTAATTTAATACATTGTACCAATATTTGATCATAAACCTTACTTAGACAAATTAATGCATTTTTATGGATTGGATATTTCCCATCACAATTGATAACTTCACAACTTTTAAAATCAGTAAATGGATATCTCTGGCTAGGTTTACGTACTAATCTTACATACTTTATGTACCATCTCATACGAGGGCAATTACGTTCCAGGTCGGAAAATGTTGTGGAATCTTGTTTGTGATGGAAAATGACTCAATAACCCCAAAAATAACAAACCAACAAAATTTAATTTCAAAGAACAAATGAATCTTTGAACATTTCTCCACTGTGACAAAAAGGGCAAGGTAAATAAAAGTCGATAGAGATAATTGATTGATGTATTTAATGGTACGTAGTGTTAGTTGGGTACAGAGCACTTGGAGCACTTGTGAGCTGCTGCGTCGTCCGCTTGACTAGGCAAGTGCTCGTCCTCACTCTCCCACAGCAAGTTAAGTGATTGTAAAAATAGTATTCAAACAGCGATTGCATCGATGATCCAAAATAAATAGATAAAACATTTAAGGCCATAATCAATCTAAATATATTACACGATTACTCTAAAATTAAAGTAATTAAAGCGATGCAGTCAATAATTATTGAAGTAGTATTTCCGACTACAATTAAATATTGCGTTTGTGATACCGGAGATCGAATTACAATTGCACTGTAACTGATAATGCTTTCCGAGTGTTAAATATTTGTGAATCCTTTAATAACAATCTAATTTAAAAATTGAAACTATAAAACATGATTAGTTAAAAAAATATGTTAATGATAAAAATAACAATGAACAGTACGCAGACTGCTCCAATATACATCACACTAGTATCTTACACTTCGTCTACTGCAACAGCAGGTGCACCTTATATAACATTCAAGCGAAGGACTACAGTAACAAAATAATCAGAAACAGCTTCGGTTAGTTTATACAATGTTCTAGTCGCGGGGTACAGAGAACGTTCGGATATTCGGTAGACTATTTACAATCGGAAAAATCGTATTCGAGCACATAGATATTGATTTTGCATTCTCATAGAAACTTAATTTAACAAACAATAACTAGTAGTCGCAACAATATTGTTAAGTGACAATTATCGAATGAAAATAAATTTAAAACTATTCCACATGATTCAATAAATATTTGCACAACATAATTTATAATCATCAACAAGCAAAGAATCTACAAAAATACAAATATGAACCATTTCATGATATATAAACATACAGCTAAAAACCATCATGAAAAACAGTTTCTTATACAATAGATAACACGTAACGTAGATATTCGCAAACCTATGACAATCGTTAGTATCGTAACCCAAAATTCTCGTATTTACACCATGCACTCCTATCTTTCGAAACAGTTAAATCATTCAATATAGATAATACAGCACGGATTCTTTATATTATTTTACATTTAAATAGTTCATTTAATTACGACGACAGCACAGCTTACGACAGTAGATCTGAAACAAAATAATATATGATGAAATAGAGATTTAATAAATCTGGATTTCTATAAATCTAGGAGTAAATACCAACAAAGTAAGGTACAGAGGGAACTTGCTTATGGGACGACCGTGCGCTTTCAGCTCTGGTACGTTGTGTAGAGGCTAGGGCAATACATCACGACCATTATTATAACTTGATTTTTATGTTCTTAACCTTTATAAATCTGTGGAAGAAAAATACAAATCACTGTATTTATTATTCAGAAATGGTAATTTAATGTAAACGTAAGTTCAACTTTAACTTTGAGAACCAAGTTAACAACAAAATACTGTATACGTTTTATAAATACAAAAAAGGAAAAAGAAAATCATGACATGTTTTTTTTTTTTAAGTGCCCTAATACCTAAGATAAATTTACCATACTCCATCTGATTTTACCAAACTCCAAACACTAGCTACCTACTGCAGAGTATGAGGAAAATATATTAATTTCAAATTCTTTTATGCATTAAAACAAAATACAACTGAATGACTTTACCTGTCCACTCACCATTAACAGTGTCCTGTTTCTTGGTTTCCTGGAAGGCGGCGATGAAGGGGTTGGTAGAACTGGTGTTGAAGTTGACACTGTCCTCGTTCACCAGTTTACCGTTGGTGGCGGTCGCCGTGTTGGTGGAGGGGGTGAGAATCTGCTCTGTGATTGGCTGAGGCAGAGGACTCACTCCCAACCCGTCCCCTTCTATACTCAAGTCTAGCAGGTTATTGGTTACGTTCTTCTGTTCCACTCTGTACCGACAAGACAAAATTACAATGCAAACATCACACTATGTTATGGGAAGCCACTTAGGTGGGCATTTTAACCCAAATATGAGTGAGGGATGAGTGTACAATGGACTGAGATGCCTTGTGTAGCTTTGTGTTACTGGCTAAGATCAGCTTTTATCATCAGCCAGATCAAGGACAGTTGGTTCCAGTTTTTAACCATCAAAAGTTACCAGCTTTTCTATAATGTACAGTAGTCGCAGATAGTCTGGGCGCGCGGACCCTTGTGTACTAACTAACCGTCCCCCACGCCAAAGCCATGAAGACAGCGCTAAGGTGCTGAACAACCCCAGAGAGCCGTGTGTGCCAGATGTTTTTGGAAATGAGCAATAAACACTCCCCTCTACACCCCTAGCCCTAGCGCGGCCGCGCGCCCAGACTAGCTGCAACTACTGTAACAGTGGTTTGGACAGGGAGATTTTCACAAATGTAACTGAAGAAAAATAATTTTTTAGTGAAGATAGACAGACAAAGTATATACAGATTTGGTATTTAAGGTTACAGGGTTGGTACAAATTTTGGAAAATGAAATTCCCTGACTTTTCCAGGTTTTCCAGACTGATATTTTACTTTTTCCAGGTATACCGTAAGACGATATCGAATAGTCAGAATCAAGAATTATTAGAAAAAATGTAGGCCTAAATAGTTTACTCATAAAACCAATAAGAAAAGAATTAAGCATCTAGGATCTGGAAAATTAAGAGTACCAACTAACTTAACCTCACATTTTAAGTTCTACTTGGCCTTGACTTGACACTAGCAGATAGACGTTACGGTGCTTCTGATACTGATATATATTGGAATTTTGCTTGCGATATCATCGGCTTATATCGGAAGAAACATGTGATATTGGAAAAAATAACTACCATGCTTGTACCGGAGACAAAAAGTAGTACCAAACTAAACTATTAAATGTTTCAACTAACAGAATAAATTTTTTTTATAAACTCCTACAAGTGCAGTTTTTTTAGTTTATTAAAGGTTGAATCAGTATTGGTATAAATTCAATGAGGAATTGTATTCAGTATCGTATTGAAATTGAAACGATGAATGTAGGCCTATCCTTCCGCGCATCGCGGTACTAGCAGTGTTTCCATACGTGGGATTATTATCCCGAAAACAGGATTTTTAGAGCATGAGCGGGATTTGAAGGGGATGTGGGATAAAACAGGAGTTTTGGCTATGACGTCCGTTTTTATTTACTATGCTTTATTTTAGTGAAAAACTAACCCCAATTGAAAAAATTACCTTAACAAAATATAATAGCAATGTTAAAACAACTATTTAAACACAATATGTCTAATTTAACACTCAGAATTTAACATCAAAAATCTCAAGGGATTAAACGGGATTTCTTAACCCAGTGACCGGGATTATATTCTTTTACCCGTGTAGAAACACTGGGAGCTCGGTGCGTTCAATTAAAGCCAGTAATCAGAGGGTGATGATAGAATGTCTGTAGATGTTTGATGTTTTTTATATCGATGGTAGGTTCCCGATGTTTTGTTACATCGATGTTTTCGTCAAACTTCGATGTATTGAGACGTAGATGCAAAATGTAGCATATCTGTAAAAAACGTAATCAAATCTTTCAAGAGAAATTCCAGATTTTTTCCAAAATTCCCTGACTTTTCCAGACCAACAAAATTCCCTGACATTTCCAGGTTTTCCCTGACCGTACCAACCCTGGGTTAAAATGTACTTTTATTGTTTACTTTTAGTCCCACAGAATAGGCCTTGGAAATGGACTTTACAGTCAAAATTGTTCAAGATACAATTTGAGCTCTGTTCTTTCAAATTTTAAACACAATGCAAGGTCTATGGGTTTACTTTAAAACAGCCGCTAATGGCTGAGCATCAGGTTAAACTCCAATGAACCCAATGGCAGAAAAAGTTAGTTAAGCGTGGCTGTCACCATATAACTAAGGGGGGGGGGGGCAAGGGGGCAATTGCCCCCCCCTGAGACTTTAGTAAATAAATCTAAAATACTGTACTTTTAAATTTCAAATATGATCATATTTTTGTCTCTAAATTTTTAATAACACGAGTTTTCAGTTTAAATTTTACAAAATTTCCTACTGGTGAACTCCTGGACCCACGCGTTACTCCAAACCCCCTAGACTCCCCCGGGAAGTTTACCCTTACAATCCAACTTGTCCCCCCCTCCCCCTGTACAGTAGTCGCAGCTAGTCTGGGCGCGCGGACCCTTGTGTATTAGCCGTGCTGAGAGTAACGGCTCGCTCACCCCCACAGCCACGTTGAACAACCCCAGAGAGCCGTGTGGGCCAGATGTTTTTGGAAATGAGCAATAAACACTCCCCTCTACACCCCCCGCCCTAGCGCGGGACCATACTTGGGAAAAACGAATAGAAATATTAACGAATAGCGCTATTCGTTCGTTTTTTCGGCTAACTTCTATTTTAGTCGATACTTTTTAAAAAGAGCTCGAAATAACTTCTACTCAGTTAGTTTTATAGCCAGCGAATAGATACTATATTCGCTGGTTTTAAATCGTTAAGTTTTTGGTCAGGCGAAAGTGTTTCCAATAGCCTACGGGTTATTTATTTGACGTGTTCAGTGAGGGTTGCGAGCGTACGTGAGAGGTCAGTGCCCTTGTGACAAACAACGCGGGGGGTGGGGAAAGAGAAAGTCAAAGTCCAGTCGCTTTGGTATGCAGCGGACCCAGGGGGCGGGACAATGGCAGCCAATAACAACACCCCAAGCACCGAAGGGTGGGAAGGGGGTGTTTGTTTGGCAATTGATATGTAATCTCAAGTGTCAAAACAATGTCTTCACTTCAGTCGAAGTTCATTATCTTATCTGACCGTTGACCGGACAGGTGTTAGTTCATTTGTTTTCGCCCAAGTGTTTTTAATTGTCTTGTCGGTAGGCCTATACATATTTTAGTGATAGTTAAACATTTTTTATACAATAGTTATTAAGGTGAACAGTGTTGATTAAGAGTCTTCCTTAGTGGAAGCCATGTTGGATTTCTTCCCCATAAGAACAATGTTAACTTTGGGTCCAAATATCTCATCAGCAAATTGTCATATAATTATGGATAAGGAGTTAAAGTTAAGGAATTGCGGTCCTCTAGAGATTGACGTTTTTTTATTTCACAATTTTTAATTTTTATAATGAATAATTGATTATTAATTAGCTTAAAATTAAGCTAATTATTGAAAGGAAATGAAAATGGATTTTCAAAATTCAAAAACCTCAGTCACGAGTCTATTATGTTAAAAATACAAATTATAAATTTCAAAGCTATATCTTAACAAATAACGCCGTTACGTGTCCACAAATGATGTAATGTTTAACATTGTTCTTATGGGGAAGAAATCCAACATGGCTTCCACTAAGGAAGACTCTTAAGTACAGTAGATTAATAATATTTTTTTCCAATGGCGGGCGAGTGTGATATTAAGTGGCCAAACTTAAGTGACATATTCCAACAAGTTGAAAAAAATGAAAACGGTGGACTAGCGTTGAAATGTTTATTGTGTTTACCCAAAACAAAAATAAGTAAAGCATCAGTCACAAGTGCTTCGAATTTGAGAGCGCATATTAAGGTAAGTGGAGAAAAAGAATGATGGTCTCGTTGTTAACTTTAAGGGAATATACATTTTTTTAATGAATATAATTTATATTTTTTAGTACAGTTATAGTGTATTTCTCAATGCGTTTCCCACTTATAAACACTATCTCGCCACAAATAGGTCACTTTTAAAGGAGTTAACTATACTTTTATCACACTGGGAAAACTACTTCATCAGCCTTTAAAAAGTATCTGATATTTCGTAATACATTAATTGTTTCTAAGTTAAACACAATACGGCTGTACAATTAATTTTACAGTAACATTCAACTAATTGAACGTCAACAAACTGTGTTTTGAGTTTGACCTAACCGGGAACTTCAGTTGTAACTTATGTTTATGTATCGAAAGTAATGTTTATGTCAGGAAAGGTGAGATGATCACTTTTTGTTTTTGAACTATTGAATACAGAGTGATGACAAGTTTTTGTATCACCTTTGTCGGGGAAATAAATAAGTGCCCTCGAGTTTGAGCCTAAATATCTCTGAGATTATTTATCCGATTTTGTTGAAACAAAAGTTAAGTATAAGCTGGTTTAAATAAATTTTACGTGGTGTCAATTAAAAAAATTCCGTTAACCAGAAAAATGTATATATTTAGTTAGTTGAAAGATCCTATAAAGTACCGGGTTTTAAGTAACTTTGCACTAACACTGAAGTTAAAAATTTATTTTTAAACAAAACACTGAGCCAATCTTTCTGAAATTTTTATGGGTTATTGGTAGGTTCATTGTTAACATTTCCATGCATTAAAAAAATTTCATTCACAATAGTTTTTATGCTACTGTTAATTTTTAAAACGTATGCTAACATTTTAATAAGGCACTGAAAATTACGTTCAAAATATCATCGTGTATATTTGAAGTTAACTTATTGTGATGTATTTGTTTCATGGTTCTAGTGAATATTTTGTTAGTAAATTTATGTTACATCAAAAAACAGTAAGTTAACTACACGCATATCGGCAAGTCGCAGTGTCGCACGCGCTCCCGCCCGGCTGGGAAATATGGTACAAACATCAGGCGGCCCTGCCAGTCACGGGAGAAATTTTTGTTTACAAATGTAAATCTGTTTAAAATCCACCTTTGTTCTTATTATAAATCTAAAATCTGTCATATTGGTGTTATTACTTGTGTCACGGCAAAGACTATGGTATTTTGAACGAAAATTTCAGTGTCTTATTAACGATTGATGTAAGCATACGTTTTAAAAATTAACGGCAACATAAAAACTACTGCGAATAAAATGTTGTAAATGCACATATATGTTATTAATGAACCTTATATTTAATTTTGTTTCAACTAAATCGGGTAATTCATCTCAGAGATATTTTTGCTCAAACTCGAGTAACCATATTTATTTCTCCG